AGTGTCCATTCTGAACCTTTGATACGGGGAAACAATTTTCGTGGCTGGAATTGTTATAGGAATCTTCCGAATGGGCATGCTGCTTTTGGTATACTGGAAGTATGGAGACTGCCTGGGTAAAGAGCAGTGAACGTTTTAGGCCTGTATTATTATTATACTCCTGTAGGTGTTTAGATTTGAGCACTTCAGTTCAGGCCAGTTCACAGGCCAGATAACATATCGGTATAAGCAAAGATAGATAACGGTATGTGTTTTGGATAAGTAGATGGTCTGTGGGTACATAGCCATTTGATTGCTTTTACAATATATTTTAGGGAAACAGAATTCAATGCTCAAGATTTCACAATATAGTCCAGTGAGTTGGCGCCATGAATGGCTACTCCATACTCATGCACATTTAGTCTCGAGTATCAGGATGCATGTGCACACACTTTCTAATGTTCTTAATGCACACAAAGGCTTTATAGAAGAGTGCGTAAAATGAACACTCGTGAGCACCCTGAAGATGCACATGAACACGCACACGCTCACCTGCAATGTAGATACGACTCTTATCGGTGACCAGAGCCCCGGTCCAATTCACTCGACCATTCCAATCAGGCATGTGAGCGCGGAAAATGCGTAAATAGTCCGGGGCAAATGCGGATATGTAGGTGAATCCATCGTTCGCATTCAACACACTGGCCAACTGAGTTGGGTCTAAAGAATTGAAATGCGGATTGTCCCATTGGACCACCGGTTCTGCCAAATTACCCGGCTAGATTGAAAATGACATATGGGAGAGAACGAGAGTAGTGATATTTGATTCCAAGTCATGGGTGTCATGTGGTTTTGGAAGTGGGGTGGAGATGATGATTTGTGAAAGTTCGGAGGATAGAACGTTTGAATACATTTAACTTCGGAAGGTAGTCAAAATAGTCTTGAAGATATCCGGGAATAACAACAAAAACGTATCCTGTGACAAACAGCACAAATCCGGAAGAACGAAAATAGAGAAATCACATGTACAAAATATCACCGAGATATTTTCTGGATGAAACAACAAACTGGTGGTGGGGTCGGTTCATTCTGCGAATAGCTGTTTCAACCCGACAACAACACTGAAGGTAAAAATTGTGAAAGTGACACGGGAATCTCTTCAAGGTTTCTAGAAGTTGCCTGCTGTTCTTGTTGAAAATACCGTGAGTAAACTGTAGACTGGATAATCACATGAATAGCACGGATCTCTCTCATGAGGTCTGACAGTCTAATGCGGATGACAAACTAAACTAATAAATGTTACATGGGAAAAGTCCTGTCATTTGAGAAAGTGGGATGGGTGAGTGAAATAATTTACACTTCAACAGCTGGATTTGTTTGTGTGAAGAATGAATTATAGTCGTGTGCATACAAACACCGAGAATATAATAGGGCTGTTAGTAAACCCAAAGCGATAAGCCCAGTCACCGTGCCCAATAAACCTCGTTCGCCTACGTTTCAAAACCCTGTCATTTGTTAATGGTTTTCGGGTAGAAAAATGCGGACAGTTGGAGGAAATCGGTTCCTTTTTGCAGTTCTTCAAGCAATGCACAACGCATAGAATTTCGGGTAATGTGAAAAACAACAATAAATTTGAATAATCTACTGAAGTAAGAAGAAAATAAAGTAGTTAATGGAAACTATTCTTGCGGCCTGTTTTTATGAAATTGATTTTCATCTGTGTATTACCATTTGGATGAGACGCTTTAGGAACGGTTAAGTCCAAACAGGCGGCAGCTCTAGGGTCGGCACTTTAAATCATAATTTCCCAGCAGAAGAAAACCTTTTCATTCCATCGCGTCATGGTTATTCCCTTTTGGTAGCTCGTAATTAGTTGTGGGTTCCAAAACGTATTCAACGGAATATATATTTTCCTAATTTCGGTTGGTTTGGAGAAGGGCATTAACATGCGGGTATTGAGGTATAATGCCTGTTTGATGTAACGAATTTGCCTAGCATCAGCATGCTTTCTTCTGGGCGCATCACCAAACTTCATAAAGGGATTTACTGATTCAACGATACTGGTATGTTCGTGCATAGTTGTCAGTGAAGTTCTGGGTATTCATTTGCAGTTTACCTTATTCAGATGAAATTTGAGCTCAATGTATATATGCTATTCGGATAGCTTTCACTCATACGTTTTTGATCACGCAGCAGATATTGTCCGTCCAATAAGTTATAACTTACTTTGCATACCATGATCCGGATTACAGAGGCTTATAGACTCATTTAATCTCAGTTGTAATTTCTACATCTGTCCAGCCAGCATTTCGACAATGTGTGGTCGCAGATGTATACTTCACTTTCTGATAGCTACAAGTGAGCTTTCGGTTCGTTATGGAGATCAAACAGAAAGGAATTACCCAATATACACGAAAGTGCCTAGTGCGATGTACCGCCAAAGTTGATAACTTCTTACACCGTAACAAGATAAGTCGATAAAAGGAAGTGTTTGCAAGTGATTTACCATTAACTAGATCAAGCAAAGTCTACTTAAAATCTTCCAGTATGTGAGAAATTGCACTTCAAGTCAAAACCTAATTTCTGATCTTATACATTTCTTAAGCAAGCTTTGCCATTGATACATTTGAAAGGAGGAGCCAGTAAAATACATTGTCCGATTGATGCACTGGAAGACCTATCAATTCATGCCTGCTGCAGACAAATATATTATTCACATGCCGGTTTGGGACTAGATTACCAACCATACAAACGTGAATGGGGGAAGGGACATCAGGATGATGAGCAAAGCCTAGTGTTGACTCCAGGTTGATTCCGATCGCTTGATTATAATATTTTCGGCCATTTCGAGTGTTCTGGTTTTACAATTAGTATATAATTCTAAATGTTTTCTCCCGATCAATGAAATGTTTCGTCAGCAACAAATGCTTGGAAATCATGGAGTTCAATGTTTTGTGCTGCTGAATTACCGGCTATGTGGAATTTGGCATAACAATCCAGTTTGTAATGTGTTCTGAAGCCTGACTGCCTATATTTTGTAGTTCTATCCTTAATCGGTTTGAATGATTCGTGGTTATGTACGCATCCTCTGTTCGTCTCAGCTTTTATTCGAAACACATACTTGCCGTTGTTGTTCCATTTTCCATTACTCTTCTCCCAAGGAGAATTAGAAGGTGGTTAGTCATGGACATAGATAATTAAAGAAGAATAGGTGAACAGTCACCCGACTGACGGTGAAAGGATGAACTCATCTACCTAAACTTTGCCATTTAATAAATAATCTATAGTAAATCTCCGAGTTATACCTGAGATCCTACCTAGTGGGCAGTTCCCTTATCTATGACTTAGCAGATAAGAACCGCTTCTTGTTTAATATCAAGTCAACTTCTCACTGGAAAATGTAATTTTTTTTTCTTAAAGAAAAAGAATCAGTTCTTGTTTGTTTACGTTAAATAGTCCTCAAATCATAATAGGCGTGTTACGTTCAATCAGGTGACCGCGTACAATGTGCCATAGAAAATGCAACCATTGTGGACGAGAGTGAGTCAATTAACCTTGAAAAAGCTCACTAACAATTAAATACATACCACCCAAATTGGTATATGAAACATTAATGATTAACCGATGTTTGGAAAGAAAAAGTTTGAATAAAGAACTTGTTATAAAATTATGTTTAAGAACTATAAAGATTTTGGAATTGCTCGTAAGATGCCAACAGTCCACATAGGAATAACACGTTTTGACCAATTTTTTTCAGAAATAAGAATAAAAAAAAACGTAGGCAGCTCCGAACGAGGACTTTGCCAATAAAACCCTTCAGATTTGATAAGGCACATGTTTTCCGGTCTTTTGATAATATGCCGCTATTCGAAGAGGATTGTTTCCTCTTGGGTGCCTGTCCGATGTCAGGTAGATATAAATTATTGAGTTTACTTTGGCTGATATAAGTCATTATACGTTACTTCGGAGGTTATATATTCGAGTCTAAATTCTAAGCATTTGCATACCTGTAAGTAGCCCCTGATAAGCCGCGTTTCTCTGTTTGCGGATATCTATTGAAAAGATATTGTTCGATACAGACTAGTTAAATGACGTTTAGTAATGCCCCTAAATTACATTCAGGTCAATTGTATAATTGATTTACAAACACATCTACCCGGTTATGATTGTAAATATTATTTATTGTGTGCTGGGCAGCTGTATCGAACTTGTTTCGACTCGGCAACAGAGTATCTGATGTTTGTGGCCCCGTTAACAATTAAAACATCGGGATAAACACTATGAAATCTAACCCGGCGGATTCAATGGTTGGGTCCCGGGTGAATGGCCAAAACAGTGTCCATCGCGGATGATTGATGAAAGAATGAAAAACCTGTGGAGTACATTTTATTGGTTATCACGAAGAAAAAAGTCCCATCTTATTTCAAAATGCATAACTGTGTGGAGAACGGTAATTTCTCAACAAGAGTAGCCCGCATTAGAACACTTTACATAAGTTCTGATGTTTATGAAAACGCACAAACAAAATTTGTGGAATAGATTCTGAAGGTATTGGTGAACTTGAACAGTATGCTAATCTAGGTAGAAATTGTACCATATAGGATTATGGTTTTCATGAATTGATTACTGTCAGATAGGGTAGAAAAAAACCTGATACTGAGAGTTTGATGTGTAAACCTAAATTATTATATTAAAAATGACTCGGGTGCAAGTGTTAAGGAAAACGTTTGGCTTCAAAAATATTTGCAATAAACTATAACCATGATGAAGATGGTGGTGGTGTCATTTTCAGCGATAATTTGGTTCTTGTGGGCATATCTTGGAACACAGATGTCAGCTATTTGTCCATGCGAACCGTGTCGTGGTCAAGGAAGGTGCCTCGGGTTTGATAAATTTTCCTTTATGAAGCAGTATAGAATACAAAGGTTCATACAAATGAATGCACTTCCTACATTTAACGTAACAGAACTTGATTAACGAGATATTTTGAGACGTCCGATTGCCTATGGAACTGAAGAAACAAGATAGAACGCTTATTACATTTTTACTTGAAATTATATAATCGTGCTGTGTTTAGCTAATTACCAAGATACGAAAGTGAGCTCGTTTCATAAATTATTCGAGTATCTTTTACAGCGGAAGAAAAACAAGATGACATATTGCTTTGCAGTTTAATCACTGGGATTCGGAGTTGAAACTCGACTAGTTGTTAATTGGCGTTTAAATGAAATAAAAGTTGTACCTGACCATTTTCTAGATTTTTAATTAGAACTCATCCGTCATAAGTGTGGAAGTTCGCGGGAAACAAAAATGGCTGTTGGAATTCTCTCCGATATTGTAAAAGTGAATTAATTGGAGCAGAAATCGACCAAACACTTTTCAAAGCGCTTTCAATCTGACATCACATCGGGCTGTGACAGGTAAATACACTTACCAGTATGCACGTACAGAAGGAAGTGCGTGATAGCCTAGCGTATTCTCAATTTCATAAATTGGTCTCACCTAGTCCGGCATTAGGTGATGGATTGCTAGATTCGGTCAAGATAATCATAAAGCACCGATTGAAACCACCCATTTGTTCAACAACGATGCAGTCAGTGTTAGATCTAGCTTACATTGCGACATATTTGTGACATATTTATGCATGATGTAATGTAACTTTAATGTTTTAGTCAGTGCTTTTGAGAACGCTACACTAATTTATCATCCGCATGGATATGGTCAGTGTTACTTGACTATCTATGTTGTTTTAGATCTTGTGAAAGGTGATTTCTTAAGTATTGATAGCACGCGCTGGGACTGGATGCTTTTAAAAAGATCTGAAGTTGAGAGCACTAGGTTAAACCTTTTGTTCCGGGTCCTCGTCACTGGAAGTAATTTGAATCACAGCGGTATCAAAAGAATTAGCATGGTAATTATTGACTGAGCTGTAACGAAGTACCTTATAAAAGGCGGGACTGGTATTTGGCACTGGAATAATTATCGATCAAACGAATCATGTGATGTTATGCAACCTCAGTCAAATGAACTTCAGCACATTGTGAGTACATCATATGTACACATTCAACTGTGCGTGGTATATAAGGCCATATAGTATCAAAATTAGATACACATGGACCCTAAGAGTTATATAGTTACGTAATGAAACCGAATTAATGTTTGCCAAAAACCTGCTTATATTGACAAAACCATAGGAGATAGGCGTTCATTAACTATACTGTTTCAGGAAACTCGGTTTACGACCTCTGGTTCCATTATAAATACTCTTGTGTGCTTTGTATAAAACCGTATTTGTGATAATGCGGCATGAAACGATTACTTTCACTACTTTTATCGGTTGGGGAGTAGTTGTTCAGGTTAAATTAATTAAATGAAATTAATTTAGTAATTGTTACAGCAAGAGCATTTTGTAAGTTCTGTCCTGATATTCAGTGAAACCCGAAAAGAAATGAAAACCCAAGCATATAGTGGATTTATCAGTCTTACTCCCTCCTTCTCCTTAGTACTGATTTGTTCGCGTTTCAGAATCGAATGATTTCTTCCTGCCAGGTGTTTGCTCATAATGTAGCGTCGTTTAGTGTATCCATAGTTTTTTTATAGACAGTGACTGGCAAAGACTAACAATTGAGTTCGATAGTTGGACAACTAAAGAACACTGGGACAAGGTGTATTGGTTCCAACTGACAGGAAGAAAGTTTTAAATTTCTGCTATTGCTGATTGGTTCAAGAAGATTGGCTTATCTGTTCTGGACTTTGTAGTGATCAAACGGTAGTTTTCTTGGGTTTCATGTTTTAATGAAAATGAAATATTGAATCAGATGTTATGCTTAAAGTAAGACCGTTTAATTTATTCACAAGAATCACTTTCCCGAGATGAATCAATGATAGCTCTGAAGTGACAGGCCGATTTCGATTGGTGCACATGTTTCTATTACTTCTTATTTGTGATCCGCATAAAAATGATAAATGTTTGCAAAACTTTTCCAAAGCGGCAACATAATAGAACACTTTTCAGAAATTAACAGCAATAATTTTATAGCTCATGACTTTAGTCTTGTGTCCAGAAACGACTATTTAGGTTGATTGAAGAGTTGGCGGACGAAAGAACAACGAACCAAAATTAACGGTCAGGCTTTGATGCCTTAGGGGTTGATCTCATGCATTTAGAGACCGCAACCTTGATCGTTTCTATACTCGTTTCAGGTGAGTAAGTGCAAAACAGGAATTTCTGAAAAAGCAGTTTTGACTGGTCAGCCAAAGAAGATCGGGAGAGGCATAAGGTCTTGAGGCTAAAGTAGACTATTTATCATGAGAGACTGCCAACAGTTATCTTTTGCAGTGAACTAATTAGATGGATTCGAAATAATTTAACCATCACAACCATATTGGTCTTTATTAAAGTGTTCTATTGTTGTCGGTCAGGGTCTGTGTTAATTTGTTTTGGGCTATGTTCAGAATCACTGAGAACGACACCTGAACAAACAATAATTTGCAATTCAGTTCAGTCCTGGCATGAGCTGGTTGGCACAGTGGTAACATACACCTTGCATGTGATCGGTCCGGAATTTTACTCCCGGACGGGACGGTGGATACGCATATTGATGAGCTCTAGTACGAGCGAAAATCGACAATGCTGCTTTCGAGTGTATGGTTAACTGGAAGAGCAAAGGAATATGCATGAAAGTGTAGTCCAAAGGATGGTCATTTCAAACCAACACGCTCAAAATATCACTTTATCTGTACGACAAGCGCGATAGAACAATATTCATTCATTTAAATAGCCTGATACTTTTGCTTATGTAAATACGTGTACGGATGTTTGGATGCTACATTGTAGTGGAATTTGCATTATGGTTACATTAGCCACCGGCTCTCGTTATGAGAAGTCATTTTTTTCGTTCAAATTTTGGACGTGGTTTATCGAGTTTTCCCTTTTACGTTCATACTGTAAACTAGACTGCCGCATCTGTGTATGTATAGTAGAGCTAGGTCAATGAGCATGTTCAACACTTAGGTGGAAAATGGTTCTTATGAGAGTCATAGATCACCGGATACAAGGAACAAAAGGTAGTTCTGATTGAAAGACGATTTTTGCTCAGTGGGTTTCACACAGAGTTCTATTCGTCTAATCAAAAACACATTATTGTTTAAACAATTTCGTCGGTGATCGATATTCTGAATTACCGGCTTACCTGTGGCACCATGCAAGCGCTTTCCGCACACTGTGGTGGTCGATTGATGTGTTCATAATAATGCAAATAACAGAACCAGACCATCTGATCATTTGGCATCACGGCCAAGAGACTGATTTCCTTCGCTTGATGACAGGTCAGCTAGTTAGATGGGAGCAGAAAAAATGCATTTTTCTGATGAAAATAATATAAACAAGTAAGTAAAAGAATTTTATTTAATGTACCGTAATATCAAATAAAACATAAAACGTTTAGAACTTTTTTCCGGTGGTTTGTGATGATGAAGATGCGTGTTTGGTTTACCATTACGGTGGCTGTGTTCACATGCTCGTTTTACACTTTTCCAAAATTAAAATAAGGTTCTGACTATAAAATGTTCTGGAAAACAATAATAAAGGATAACAAAAGTCCTGTTTTTTTGACTTCCCGAATTGTGAAACCCACACTTTAATTAAAGCGCACTGTTTCAGCTGGCTACGTTCACAAGAGCACAAAAAGAGTGCGCGTAAGCTCAATGAATCCCTCGTGTCCATTCACTCCTAATCACTGTTGGTTAACTCTCATATTATATAAAGCGGTGGCATTTTCCACAGTATTACCAACGCACTATTGAAAGAAAAAGATGAAGCTCCAGTGTGAAATAAACTCGATCAATCACAATCTTTGACTGACCGAATTCTTGTTTGTATGAACCTTGCTACCAAACACTGATATTCTACGGAAAGAGCTTTAATATTTACGTCGATCGTTCATTACAGGTTGCTGCTGATATGTGCATGCATGGGTCCCAATGACGCATGCCCTCGTGGTAATGCTCGAACACGGATTGATCTACAGTGTTATCGATCTACTCTGAGCTGGTTATACTTTTGCAGTTCTTTCGGAAGTACGGGTCCTTTTCTGATAAAAACCACCGGGGCAACAATCCGGTCGAAAAAGGCCAAACATAACAAATTAAAACCTTTATATGTTTGTTAGATTTGTACAGATTCACGATTCGTTTACTAATACATTCAGCAACCTTCGGCAAGTGGAGTCAAACATACGTTGGCAGATAAATTGAAACTTTAGGGTTCTACCTGCGTTTTCTATCATCATGTCATATAAATTTACCCAATAATAGTTAGCTGCTTAGTGAGTTAATACCTCAGGCAGAGGCTATTTAGAGCAAATCTAAAAGCCAGAGCAAAATAACTGCAAAATAACTCTTTAAACAAACAAAATACAAAACTGACTACTCGCAATATCATAAGTAATATCCCTGCGTTTTCCGGTGTAGCGCTTTCACATCACACATGCGTACAACTGCCCGTTTTTCGTGTATTACATTTGTCGGGATACAATCGGTATTCAACGGTGCTGTAACCTAATATATTGTCCTTTCCCGTGCTCATTGATACGAACAGACATTATTATCCCAGTGTGAAAACCACCCATCAATACGTGTGCGAATGTTGATGCACGTGAGAACATGATCAAAGCAAGAATCATCAAGATTTCTCACTCAATGGATCTTTTGATCAAGTTAGCTTTTATCGTGGATTTGGAAAAAATGATGAACTGAAAACTTTCATCTTGCTAGCTGTGACATCAAAATGGGCTAGTTTTTCGTGGTTCTTATCAAATTTTCATTCGTAATTTTGTTCTTAGCAAATTAAAGCGCAAACAGTGGTAGATTTATGCTTATTCCAACTGCGTAGACGTTAGCCAACATAAATGTAAGAGTTTGGCTCTCACAGATGTACCTACACCTGAGTAAGTAAAAATATAAACCTTGAAATTTCCACATCATTCATCAAATCTAAAGCTTGGGCACAAAGAACGAACATCTCAGGGATATCAATAAACACTGTCGAAATTTAGGTTGTGTAAGCACATAAGAACTAATCGTTACTCTTAGTTATTGCTTGTTTTTCGAGGTGACAAATGGCGAGAGGAATATAAACAACGAACTATTATGTTTGTTTGGCCACACACAAGCCAATGAATCGCAAGGATGCACGACCCAGTTTTGGTGCGGAAATAAAACATACTTTTGTGAAACACTAGTGCTTGAATAAAGAATAACATCTGCAATAACATAAAAATTTATCGCAACGCAACTTCATTCTATTGGGCTCTTATTCCAACTGACAGGATGAAGGTCCTAAACGAACTATTTTCAGGCCGATAAAGGTGATCTTTGGGTTACGATTTATAAATGTATCATATAACTTTTCCATTTTATCTCACTGCAACAGTGAACATTGTTTTTGACTGAAATTTTCGCTTATCTATTTGCGCAAATCATTGGAATACAATGAAATTGAATAAAAAAATAAGCATAAACCTTCATTAGATAGATTTTGGTGTTGACAACTACGAGCCTTAGCATTTTATTTTCATATATTTGAAGTGGATAAGGCTTGTGTTATAACGAGGTCAATGTATGTGGGGAGAACACGCGGGGTTTAAAAGAGCTGCCGATCTAGATTCTGTAACTTTGATGGATTTATAAGACAAGTAGACTCTCATAAGAGCAGAGCTCTTCAGTAATTCCAATGCATGTTTTTGACTTGTGATTAGGTAAGGTGAATCTGATCAACCGTCATCAGCGAAAAAAGCGATGGAAGAAATAAATGACGCTGACCGTTAGGTCAGAATCGTTGGTTTATTTCAGTTTTCAAAGTTATGCTGGTGCCCCTGCTGGAATATTCAGGAAACTGGGTCTCTTCAAATTTCCCCCTAAAACCGAACGATGTCAATGAACCGGAAACTGTGGTTGCGAATTACAGTGCTGAAATCAATCAAAATATCAAACACATCATCTTATATCCACTGCCCATGCCACAAACTTGTGATATCAACAACAAAAATCCCACATGACTCATTTAAAGTTCTTGGTATGTAATTTGTGGCTTGAAATTACTCGATCATAGAATGGCCTTGTCTTAACTGAGGCAATTAAGTTTCAGCTGTCATTAAAAGAACATGGTAAATTTTTTGATCACTGGAAAAAAATTGATACAACTGTCTGATCTATGTAATTGAGGTCATGAATGTCGATTGCATAACAAATTGAAACAAGCCTTTCCCGAGATTAATTTAAAAAGAAAAGACCATATTGCATTACTGCAAGATTTATGTCCGGGACGATTTCGCTGCATCTCAACATGGTGCATACTGCATAACAAATGTTAATTTAAAAACCAGTTTCATCAAAATCCGTGTTCAAATTATTGCAATAAACTGACCAATATTTTAATTTTTATAGTTTCAATAACAATCAATACCCGATTTGTGGAATGCCATTATGCGTAAACCAAATAATTTAGCCATCATCATTACCGTCGTAAAGGATGCACCGCAATGAACGAATCGATTAACTTAGGTAAACGTAACTCTCACGTGCTCGTGGGTACAGTGTTTCAATCAACTGTGAAACTCACTTATCGGAATAAAATCAAGCTAGGATCATATTGGAGATGTAGTTTTCTGCGAATGTGTGTTGTGTTAATTTGAATCCACATGTGCATCTCGTCTCTCTCTCTATTTCTCTTTCTATCTCGTGGGACCAGAAGTTAGATGCGAATTAAAAGTAACTGGGGGTGCACGCGAAAAAGAGTGAAACCGAATTGCCGATCTGGGAATCACGCTCACCCACTCATGATCTGAATCAAACACCTGGCGCTGAGATTCACAGGTCACAAACCTTAGTACTACACCGTAAGCTGAACTCTTTTACACTACAGTACGTCAGTACTTCACTACATCGGCATCTGTCGTCTTGAATGATCAAGGGCTCAACTGTCCATGCGGGGCGAGCAATCGGTCGATATTAAATTCGTTTACCCGCGGGAGGTTTACAGAGTGCACTCTTAACAAGATGTGTCGAGTTTCTTCCCCCAAATGTTCGAAACTTACTTATAAAATAGGTGACTTACGACCTCGATAGTGTGTTGTATCCTTCGTGAAATGAACTACGCATAGTTTACTGATGTTTAAGTTGCATATCTACAAAATTTCAAGAGTTGTTATTTGACTTCAGACATCATGTAAATAATCTGTAAACGTCAGCTATTCAGATGCTCAGTACTGTGGGCAAAATCCTTCAAAAAATACTTATGATCAGTAAATCTGAGAACGAGTATCTTTACAATGTCTCCAACTCATCTTTCATTTTACATCCTTTGAATTCAACTGATCTTGGAATCAATGAATTCGCTGAATACAAATTTGTCATCATTTAAAATGATCAACAAATGTGTTTCACTATTTTATGTTGTTACATTTGAAGTCATGTGCATATGTGTAAATTAGAGACGCATCGTCTTAAAAACTATCCAAATTTTACTCACTAGCTCATGCGCTTAGTACAGGGCGGTTATGTCATGTTTTTCTTGGGTAAAGGATACTGTTCAGTCGAATTCACCATTACATATTGAGTCAATAAAGTCTGAGAATTATGGAACGAATTATTGGAAGCCTTTGGTTTTGGCATAAATAGGTTGGGGAATAAACTATTGTAGGCAGCTATCTAACTGGAGATCCATTTGAGTAAATGGTGTTCCAGCAATAGTGACTGGTTTCTATGTTACGGAAAAATCTTATTATTCTCTCAGCTTCGTTGCTGGAAGCAGCAACCAAAGTAACTCTTTTCGATAGAAAGCATATGAACGTTATCTCAGTCTAAAGCTTCTAATGTGAACAATTACAGGGAATAAAAGTAATCGCCTTGAGAACAAACTGAAATTCTATCCAATTAAAGTAACTGCTGGAATCAGTGATATTCTGAGACGTGAAAGATACGACAAAATACCGTTAAAATTGAGCGAACGCTATAGGACGACCATAAAACGCAAACGTTTGGGGCTTAAACGTTTTATTTAATGGTAAATTAGTGACTGTTCAATTCTCTGATATAACAGGTCTAATCGAAACTGAAGCAATAGGTCCTCATAAAACACTTGTCGGTTCGCATAGACAACAGCATTTATACTAGAGTAAATTGGTTTTTCCAAATAATAATAAACAAGTCTTGATCAGTCTTTATAGACGTGATTTTCCTGATTCGTTTAAACTCAGCAGATGCAATGATTCAGAATGTAGCGGATACTCCCATTTCGTCAGTAGTGGCTGACCTAGACCATAATGAGTTAATGAGTAACTGAAGAGAATGGAACAGTTTTTATTTACAACAAATTACCATTGATAATAATTAAGGTGTACAGTTTGTATACGCTAATAGTCGATTGGTCTGCCTTTGTTCTTTAGGATTGTTTCGAGTCTATTCGGCATCGAATCCACCAACTTTGTCATGAAGTCATTTTGTATTTTATGCTCCTTTACGTATCGCACTTTTGCCCCCAATGTCCAATGTATGGGTAGCACATTGACCTCTCTCTTCAAAAGAGAAAACAGATTATCAATCACGTTGCGATCCGGGCTATTAGGGCTAAGTTGCGTGAACTAGACCTTAGAGTCACGCATCTTTTCTTGAGTCTACAAGCAAATAATAAGAGAACCAAACTGCTTAAGTTGATAAATTTACTAACTCCTCGTGAAACATGACGGGCAGCTTTATCCCGAAAAACGATAACCTTTCCAGACATAAGCTAAAACCTGATGCATTTTAAATGTTTTCATTCTCATTTGCAAAAGGGAGTAGGAATGGTGAGAAAGATGTTCCCGTTGGGTAGACGACAACGATTTTCTGCAATGTTTTTTCGGAGTCATTCTTCAGGTCATCCTCCGGTTTGGATGTTCTCAGTTTACGGCCTCCATAAGCTGTTCCGGTTGTTGTTTTCTCATGGATTATCCTGTAAATTGTGCTTTTGTTAACGTTAAAGCGTTGAGCAAGGATTTATATGGAAAATCCCAGCTTGTGTGCTCGTACAATTCTGTTTCTTTCATCTTCACCGAGATAACGAAACTCTAGGTTTCGGGCGCTGCTTGCTTTATTATGGTGACAACAATACGAATAGTCAAACCTGTGCACAAAAATGACTTTGATTTCAAGGTTGAGTTGATTGAAGTGGTATTCCTAGAATTCAGTAAGTTAGATATCAAACATAGATTATTATTATGAAACCTTATTTAGTGCAATTTTGCGTTTCCATACTTAATAAAGTTTTTGTTTTTCATGCTGAGATCATTTAATCTTGGCACGTTTAATTGACAATCATGCACCCCGAAAAACTCCGTAGATCGAAATAAACAAGATATAAATTATTGTCCATACCTAAAGTATTATTACAGGTGTTGAGTATAATGAAAGTCCATCTGATCATAAAAAAAATAGTTTAGTGCATCACAATCGGCCTATACTGTATATGTATACCCTAAGATGCTATTTCATCATGCCGTCTTGCCAGTTTGGGATAACAAGAGGATACATAGTGAGAAGTAATTTCACTGGTTAGATTGTCTCGTTGGGTGACTGAGATCTGAATGTGTTGTTTTTCTCTTGCATAATGTTGTTCATTTGTTGTCATTTGTACACTTGGCTATTACAGACTGTTGATACGTTTGGTTTCTGGCAGGGCGGGATTGTCGTCATTCGATGAGAGCTACCCCGTGACTCGATACTAAATCAGTGAGTGCACGTGTAAACAGATTCTTCCAGTTTTGGGCTTGGAACTCGCACACTTGTATTGTAATTTATGTTCCACCCAATAGAAGTTAGACACTTCTGACTAAGTATGATTCATGTTTGTTACCACGTGTTCGGGAGGAAAAAGCAAGCGTTTCATTAATTGGCGCCGTTCCAATGTACCTTAGATCTAAAAGGCAATCACTTAATATAATGCCAAAATGATTGTTCCTTGACCTATACAAATCGGAACAGTTAAAGTGGGAGGCAGAATAACCAGGATTTTTATTTCCTTAGTGGAAATCGCGCTGGCATTGCTGGTTGCACCCGCATATACTTCAAAGATTCTTAATTCAAATTTACTTGGGTGAATACAATCAGATTTTCCCCACTTTTTAACTAGTTGATTTGCTTGATTTGGACCGATTTGTGTTGAATAGAGTTGTGAAACATGTTGTCTAAATTGAAAGGAAATCTGAGGTAATAGGATGTGTTTAAGCTCTTTTTTCGACGAGTGTGAACACATTCAGCTACATCAAACTTAGTCTCCAAAAGACTACACTACAAATTGTATTCAGGAATCCTGCTTTGGCATCACCGCTCACGAAAAAAAGTTTAACTGTAATGCTCCAATCCCTGACAGAATCCTGTCTCAACCGAGCAGGCGACGCAAAACTATGCGTTATAATGCTTATAAAAACCGTTCACGAACTTCAAAAACATTTTTGCATGTGTTATAATTATATTTACGTATTTGCTTATTATATATCTTATTTCTGTACGAGCTTCCTCGTTTGCAGTTAAAAATGAGTCATATTACCATTTGATTCTAATAGTGATAACAAATAATTCAGGTTTCGTTCAGAAAAATGTGTCTAAGATTGATGATTCTGAGTATTTAATAATCCTTTTTGCTGGTGTTTTAACGCATACAGAAACCAAACGATGCATTTCATATTCACTTCGTTTCATAGGCCAGTTTTCAATTGGTAGCGTTGTCTAGCATTTCTTCTATATCCATAGTTCATTTTGTAAGGTAATTTATTGACTGCTTCGATCTATCAGAACATTACTGCATACATTATTAATTAAGTGAAACAAATTTCAAAACGGCTGTAGTTAGATCGTTAGTTATACCATCCTCATTGCGTACCAAGTCGAGAAGCTTCAACATGTTACATTAAGCTTGTAAAGCGAATTCGGACAGCACAGCATTCCGGAAGTTAAAATAATCCGATGGTCGCATTGAATAGCATTGTTATATGTATGATTTTTCTGATAGGTGATCGGGTTCAATCAAATCCATGTTACCTCCAAGTTGTGTCTTCCATTTCCAATTTACATTCAGTAATCATCCGATTAGCAAGCTCTCACGTTTATAAGACCTGTTTCTCCTTCAAGAACATTGATAAGTTTAGGTGATGGCTGTAATTTATTCAATTTGCTGACCTCCCGCTATTTACCAAACGGTTTATTTAAATAGGGTTTTAATATCAATAGTTATATATATATATATCTATATATATTCAAATAGTTTTCACTTTTCGTGCATCTAACTTCAGTTGTTTCCCATCTTATTGTTACGTTCCCAACAGTGGATTCTCATAATTGTATTATTTCAGCTACTGTTAATGTTGATCGTCCAATTTAATTCCAGTTTGCCTATTGCCAATGAACACATCATGAAATGCAGCAAGTGATATGTTCAAAGCTATTGAATAAATATTTGAACTTTCACCAAAATGTACTCAAACTCACCGAATCCTGGCATGTTGGAATAATTTTCTGCGGTGTTGGCAATGTGTAACTATCTAACAGGAAGAACGTTGTCATATCCAGTTTGAGTAAAGTTACCCTGGAAATGAGAACAATTAAATATAACCGATGAACCATTTCAAACAAGGTAGAACGTTAGTAAGGCACAAATGTTTCAGTGTGAGAAAAATCGGAAACCGGCCTGTGCTGGGCATTAGTTTCTATTTCGCTATGTTTCACCCACTGACTATGTGCAACCATATACTCAGTTCCAGGTTTAAAGTGAGAACTCCACAAACTAAGAGCATGCGCATATCTGACTAAGCGGCTGCAGAGCTGATTAAATGATTCCGTTATGCTCATGTCAGAGTACACACACATATATGCAAATAAGATCAAACCGGAAATGTTCTTTCAAATCGGATGGGCTTGTGAAAACATGATGACATTGGATTTTCCTCCACTACATAAAGTAGTAGCGGAAGATCTTTCAACCCCTAATCATGAATTAAGACAATTGCAGAAATTAACGGTTGAAATGCAATTTTAGTCAGTGAAGATTTCTCCTAAAGTGTATTCACCTGGATTCTCTTGTATTTCAGTTAATACAACTATTTTTTTTGTGTCTAGTTAGAAAACATAGTGAGCAAAAGTCTGCAACCATTGACGTCATTTGTGATATCATATTAAACGTTTGTCCAGTGAAAAATGGTTTAATTTCATTATTTTTCACTTTCGGCGATAGTTTTACTTGAATACTGAATGACCATAAATTTTTCCAAGCATTTATGCGTTGAAAAGAAGCACTAGAATTCACGCACCTTGGTGTTTTATTCATAAGACAGCAAAATCCAGCTATAATATATTCATATCAAGATTGCAGACCAGGTTAATCGAGATGTAAATCAAATGATGTTTGTTGGGCAATAAATACCTGGTGCAGTGTTGCGTTTACACAAATGCAAACCAAACAACTGGAACATTGTGTATTTTGAGGCTCTTTATCTAACAGCTAAAATATCATTCAACCCCACTGAGGTTATTTTTGCCGCATGATGTCTTATCTTTTTATGGTTATATATGTTGGATTTCAGGCGAAGCTCATGTGGTCAATAAAGCATTCATTCATGTAGCCTTGTAATATCTAGCTACCAAACAGGTAAGTCCTACGCAGCTATGCATTCACGGTGTTATTCTGATTAGAACACGTGTCAATAAAGCATTGCAATATGTTTCATCCCAGTTTATTTGCGATTGCGCAACATTCACAAAAACTATATTTCATGAACTCTATGATGGCCGTTTGGGTAGAAACATCATGTTCCTTTCATAACTCTGAATTTGATAACTTTGACTCAGTTGGAGATGAATTTATTCCAAAAAAATCACTAAACCTTTTTTACAGCCACTCAGACTGATTTTATGATTTTAACAGCATATATGATTGCAGGAGAAGGCCGGCTGTGTTTTAGATAGGTACATTTAGATTGGTCCATTTGAACTAGATTCCCGTCACTCGGAAAACGGCAACGGCTGTCGGCTCCATGGTTTGAGAAACACCTTCGAATTTCTAATAGGAAATTTAGACTACGCAACAGCCGATAAATTAATTGGCGTCCCCCCTCCTCGAGACGAAGAAGAACACAACCTAATCAATCGTACGATTGTACTGTGGAGCTATTCTGCGATTCAACCACGCGTTAGTTTGCACCAAGCTCTTCATGTGCTTCTTTGAGCATTTGAAGCACACGACAGAGTAACATTTACACTGTGATTTGGTGTTTCAACCAGATTTCCTAACCCTCTCTCAAAAAGCGATAACTGCAAAGCCAAAAGCAACCCCACCTGGTAATATTATTCAGCAATGCTTGCTTGACAAGGATTCTATATATTCTATTGGCCTAGTAACTACTAGTTTGTCGTAATACCCTGGATTTCTGCGGAGTCACTAGGGCTACTTCTTTCCTATTTTTAATTTTTACTTCCTTTTGTTGAATACATACTGATACTATTTTCAATAAGAGCGGAGCGGCCAATGGAAGGACATAGGTTGGACCATTCCGACCGGCAACGAGCACAACGTAGCATGATTTGTAACGTGACTTAACCGTTACACAAATCACCACAGAGACCGCAAAATTTGGTGGACTCAGCTCACATAAGAGCTAAAACGTACTGCTTCAATGCAAAATTCTTGCAAGTTGTTCTATCTCATCTAGATCACCAAGAAGGAAGCTTTGAGTGTAAGCGAAACCACCTGCGAAGCTGATGGCTACTCCATGCATAACCAACAGCGATGTCTTGCACGTTGGCTGGAACGATTCAAGGCATAGTTTGTCTGGTCACAAGTATCAACTTATTGTGTAACTATTTTTGCATATGTTCCATGGTACGTTTCAATAGATCCACCTTCTGAGGCTGATATATACAATCACATCCAAGTCCTGGGACGTCACAAAGAGTCTGGCTCACTCATGTTTAACGTTCTTGCAGAATTGGTGGCTCTGTTCTCCAAAGTGGAAAAGATTGAGCATATAACCTGCTAGTGGGATAACAAATTGACATCCCCATCTTCAAAGAGGGCCCGCCCAGCTACTACGCCAATGATAGGAATATAAACTTAACCCGAAAGCAGAAAAGCCGTAGCGTCCGTTATTCTCCTCCGATTGTGCAATATGCATGAAGAGCAGACCTGTGGCAAGCAGGCTGGTTTTCGCACCGTTATGGGATGCATCTGTGAAATCTTCACCCTTTGACTGTTGCTAATGCACGGTAATGTCTTTCAAAGACTAGAGATCTGTGTGTTCTTAGACATTAGCAGGGCATTTGATAGGGACGCACTAAGGAACTATGTGCTGAGGAATGAAGTACCAGCGAAGTATGTACTGATTCTCAAAGGGTTGCATCGTCATATTCCGGTCCCTGTAAGAGTCTGTGATCTGTATGTCATACAGAAAGTTTTATAGAATGCCTTGTCCAGTCTCACAAACGGTGCAGCTGAACACATCAAACTGATGCTGATGATATTGCACCGCAGTTTGACAATGCAAATTTAGTCCAGTATCCACTAAATATTTTGGTTTTTGAGAAATCTGGGCACGATATGCACTTCACACCGTGAAATTTCGACAAGCTTGTACAAGATTGGCAGAAGCCTGTGTCAGCACTCATCATATCTGGTGATCAGCTCAAGTGCTTCAGAAGTTTAATTACTTTGGGAGCTATTCTCAATGATTGTAACCCAGTGGTGTTGCAAAAGAGATCACATCACGAATGGCATAAGCTAGGACAGCTTTTTCCCGTAGACGACAACAGTGGCGCAGCCAGGATATCCAACTGACCCTTCTTCTTTACGCATACGAGACCTGGCCCCTGCGTGTTGAGGATGTGAATCGACTTTCTGTATTCGGCCACCGATCTCTTCAGAGCATTGCTCGTTTCTTGTGAAAACAGTGCGCAATCCATGACTAAGTTCGTCTTGATGTGCTGACTGGGTAACACTAGAACAAGATTCGCATTTATTCAGCGTTATCAAGAGGCTGGTTTCAGTTTCGTTTGGTACTGCCCGTTTTCCAGGTAAGGCTCCAAAAATGAGGACCATCATTGGTTAGAGTAGCTTAGGAACATGGCCCGTAATAGATATCAGTGGCGCAAATACTGTCCGATCTGCCCATTGAAATCCCGTGCCCTGTAACATACGATAAACTAACAAGAAATCTCGAAAATTGTATGGTGAAAAAAATGCTATTCTTGTGATCTTAAATCTCTGTATATGTTTGATCTCAATGTCGCTGTTATCTCTTACCCAACTATCCTGGTATTATTTTTCCTGACACTGTGTTTGTTCTCTGCGAAAAATTTAACATGCTTTTACTTACTGACAAAGGTTTTAGTCATTCTAAACTATGTAAACATTCGGTCGCATCTGCATGCACAGCAATCTTGTCAGCAGTATCATAAGTGTTTTTTTCCCGCAGCGTTCAAAATGCCTGTTATTACCATTTAACTGGAACTCTATTTGAAATAGAGATTAATTGTGAACATTCAACTTACTTGTTTTCCACCACATATATGGCCGATTGCTTTGGCAGTATGACAAACTGGGAGTAGTTGTAGATTCTCGCATCGTAGAACTTGGCACCAGCTTTGTTGTTCAACAGGTCTGCAGCGTTTTCCCCCATCCCGGTCATAGAGTGGAATGCAAGGTGAAAGAGAGAATTTAGATAGGTAAAAATAGACACAGTTGAGTGAGCAATAAATCAAAATCAGTTAACGTTATGCGAATTACCAGCGGAAGCGCTTTGCGTTGGTCAAAGAAAGAAACAGGATGTGTCCTTCCGTTTTTAAGGGAGAAATAGTGCTCACGTTTTTGAAAAATATCGGAGCGTCGATATGTCGTTGATCGATGGATAATTCTTTGTATTGATTGCTCAGATGCATCGTATCCTTACTTATGAATAATACCATCAGTAAAAAAGCATCCATTCGTAGTAACACAAAATCATTAAAAAAACTTATTATGCGAACGATAATGATTTCCAGGAACAAGAGTTGTGGCGATTCAAATGCTAAGCGCACAGATGAAAACGATGATTTTAAAACTAAGCTTTCCAGCACACTATTCAGAAGCAAAATGTGTGAACAAACACTACCATAATCATGTAACTTATGTGTGTTGGATTTCATCCAAAATACTACCGCTCTTGTAAAAGCTGTTTTTTCCACCCCAGAGAAACAGCTAGAACAATGTGATCAGGGTTCTTTCTGGACATTAATTTTAAATGCTCACAACCAGCTGTCAACGCAGGTTATGTATAGGCAAACAGGAGATCATGTGGAAGATTTCCTCATTGTTTAGTGATGAGTTAGATAATTAAAACTGCCACGGGAGTGGGGCAAGTGAAGTTCGGTTTCTAGGCTGTGTATTATGGAAATAAATCACAACAAATGATAGAAGTCGGAGTAATTTGGGTGATCTGTTTGAAAAGGATACGAAGGAAAGCAACCCTGGATGTGTAGTTGAGGAAGAGGATGACCGGTGTACGGGGTGGCATGGAGGACTGAGGACGAGGATCAACGTTCAAAGTACCAAAGAAAAAATCAATGGTTAAATCAGTTAACAATCAGTTACA